GAGAGAGAATGTTGCGTGATAGTCTGGCCACAATCCTTTGTTAATCAATTATTAAAGTTAGAACACACAGACACATGTATTTGCTCTGGAAAAAAACAAACAACCTGCTCGGTGTGATGTAGAAATCTACTAAACATTGACCCTTGAACCACATGTAACCCTGTTTTAGCATGTACTATTTAGATGTCTTTTAAAGCTCTGATAAACAGAAAATTGCTCAGTTGGCTATTAGTGAAATTAGGTTGAAACTAGTTTGTTGTAACATCCTGAAAAGATGACTTTTCATATTGCAATTTTCAACCACATTTAGATGTTCTGTGGATGTGAGTTTAAGGCCATGACCAGCCAACCGGGATAAAAATCATCCCTGAACGTCTGGTGCTTTGTGAGAAGGGTAGTGACACTCTGATCGTTCCATCAGAGTGTGTACAAATGTACTACCCCCAGGTATTTATGGGAACCTTACAACTAACGACCTTCTATGTAAACTTCTATGTACATATTTGCCGTGAATATAGACAGGTGTATGGTCAGCCTCTGTTTTTCCTTTATAAAAAATAACTTTGTACATCTAATCCCTAAAGTTGTCGCTTTCTCCTTCTGCCACTGCTAACTGCGTGTCTGTCCCCTCTGCAGGTGTCCAACACCTGGCTGTGATGGCAGCGGCCACATCACTGGGAACTATGCGTCCCATCGCAGGTATGTAGGCTTATTCGGGCACTAGTGTGCACTGCTGCTTTCTATATAAGCTTGTACATGAAATGTTAGATCTACTGAGACTCTCCCTCTGCTTCTCACTCCAAAGCCGGCACACTGAGACTAATTCAAACATTTTATTTGATCCTGACATGCCAGAGGCAATAATGTAGCGTGAGCCCAGGAAGCAAAGACGGTCATTGACTTTGATATGCATCAGTAATTTACTTCTTGCTGTCTGTCCTCTTCTTGCTAAATGACCTTGGTATGCCTTGCATTCTTGATTTCCCTTTACTCACATCTTTCTCCTCTCTCCTTTCAACCCCCTCTCACCCCTTGCTTCCCCCCTTTTCGTCCTTCTCTTCCTCTGCCTGTCTTTTCTCTCTCAGTCTGTCTGGGTGTCCTCTCGCTGATAAGAGCCTTCGGTCCCTCATGGCGGCCCACACCCCTGAACTCAAGTATGTCTGCTCTACACCTTCACTGCCTTTTCGCTGCCACTTCAGCTCACTGCTACTGACACTGTCCAGCACCACAGCACTTCATTCTGCTGACGTTAACTTATCTAATGCTGCTGGCTGCTTTCTGTGCTACCGCTGCATCTGTCATGGTGGTTTTTCCTATGTCTGTGCTTGCTTTCACTTCAATTACTTCATGTAAATGTGAATGAAACTTACAAAGGCTTTTCACAGCTCAACATGTACAGATACCGGGTGTGTTCGAATGGCAAAAAGCCTGGAAAGCTAGAATAACTTTTTCAAATAGCACGGTGAAATCAGAGTTTACAATACAATACAAAATGCAAATTATCAATGTAATTGATAAATACTAAAACAAGCAATAAATCAATTATAACACAGTTATACAATTATACACAGGTAAGCTGAAAAGCAGCTGACAAATATAAAAAAAATACATTAAAAAAAATTATAGATCTATAAAATCCTAAAATCAGTTCTAATACAAATATAAGGTGTAAATGGCTGGGCAGGATTGGGATGATATGTGTTCAATGATGATCACTAAGAACTAAACCAGAGTCCAGAGAGAGTTTTTTGTGTGCGTATCAGAAAGGAGGAAACTGAAGCCTAGAAGGGAAAAAAGGGCTGAGTTTATTTTATTTTATTTTTTTAAGATCAGTGGATTAATTTTGACCATGGGCCTTATTTGAAAGACAGGACTAGACAAGATCTTTGGTGTTTGACTGAAATAGTCACTTAGATGAAAAGAAACATTTCTCCCACTGAAAACACAACATCTATGAACAGAAGCAACTTCTTGGTCATTACAATTACATTTATATAGCACCACTTCACAGCAAGTGTTCATTATTATTGTAAAGACAACAACAACAACAACATTATTATTATTAATAATAATAATAATAATAATAATAATAATAATAATAATAATAATAATGAAAGATTAGACAGAGAACCTCAAAGATCAGGCAACTATGTCTAAGCACTTAGAAACAGTGGGGAAGAAGAATTCCCTTTTAACATGAAGACGCCTCAGGCAGACCCGGTCTGGAAGGGGCGAGTGGAAAGAGAAGAGAGAAAAGAGCGGCGTTGATGTATGGTTCTGAAACTATACTCTTCCATGTTAGCAGATTAGGTCACTTTTAGAATGAAAGTTGGATTGCAATGGCTAAGAAATATGATTTCTGATTTTGTGAGGCGCAGCTGAGAAAGCTGTGTGCCATTCATGAGCTGACGGTACCAAGGGAGTCTAAAACAACAGCTAGACTTTTAGTGTCTCAAGGTTTCAAGGGTGGGTGAATCTGGGAGACACCTCTCTCAGCCCCTCCCTCAGCTTGGTTCTGCCAGAGGTTTCTTCCTGTTAAAAGGGAGTTTTTCCTTCTCACTGTTGCCAAAGTGTTTGCACACAGGGGGCCATCTGATTGATGTGGTTTTGCTGTATTGTTTTAGGGCCTTACAATATTAAGGGCCTTGAGGTGACTATTGTTGTGATTTGGCAGTATATCAATAAAACGGAACTGAATTGAATATACACATTGTGATCATTTGTTTAAGATTAAGCAGATAAATAGTAAACCTCAGTTTTCAGTTGTGAAAACTCCCTGTGTTAATTTTTTCTGCCTAACTTTGAACATTGCTTTGTTTTTTTTCCCTAGATGCCCCACTCCCGGATGTGACGGCTCAGGTCACATCACAGGAAACTATGCCTCACACAGAAGGTAACAGAACACAAATGCGCGTGCACACACACACACACACACATACACAAACATACATATGTATAGCTAGTCAGAGAGGCCTAGCGACAGTTCACGATAGATTAGACAGGCACCACATACACATAATCCTATTTTCATCCATATTAGGCGTTTTTCAATGGATTTGGTTTGTCTTTTGGTTGAAGAACCTCTGTAAAATTATTCTTCCTTACCATGTTCTCTTCCTTTATTAAGTAATCACTTCACCAGACCTTTTCTTTCCAGCCCTATGTTATCAACTCCATACTTTCTGTTTTCAGTCTCTCTGGGTGCCCGCGTGCCAAGAAAAGTGGAATTAAAACTCCTGCCAAGGACAACCAGGAGGACTCCGAGCTTTTAAAGTTCGTACCGCTCAGAAAGTCATAACGTCTGCTTTTAGCATGACTGACGGTAAAACTAAAATGCAATAAAGGAAAGAGAGAGCGAGAGAGAGAGACAGAGAAAGAAAGAGAGGAAAGTCACTGTGAATCATATGCAGAGGTAGTGATCTGTCCCCGTAACTGAATCAACTTACTCATGGGAAAATACACTTACTGCAGATACTGATTCTGAATATAATTCATGGTAGACTATTGCAGAGTACATTGTTATTACATAAGAAATACATGGGCTTCATATTGCACACAAAACTGTTAATATAACAGTATGTGGAGAAAGCATGTACCAAATTGTAATAGCTCATTTGTCAGCAATATCTTGCATTGTAATAATATGTCCAATACAGAATTTAGCAAAACTGCTAAAAACCTTTCAGTTTTTAAGATAAGAATTATCTTAGTTTTCGCTTTACTTTCATTTTTGCATTCTCCTTGTCTAACCTTTGTGCCCCGTCATTCTCTTTCTTTCCGTATCTGCTTCCTGTCTTCCATACTTTTTCTTCTCCTCTCTTCTTCTTCTTACCACCTCTGCTCTCTGCAGATGTCCGGTGCCGGGCTGTGACAGCCTGGGCCACATTAGTGGAAAGTACGCCACACATCGTAGCGCTTACGGGTGCCCGCTGGCGGCCCGTAGACAAAAGGAGGGTCTTCTGAATGGCACGCCATTCAACTGGAAGGCCTTCAAGACAGAGGGTCCAACCTGCCCCACCCCAGGTTGTGATGGCTCTGGACATGCTAACGGAAGTTTCCTCACACACCGCAGGTAAGCTTAGGCTTTGATCAGTATCTTCAAATTTGAAACAAATCGATTAAATGAGGAATTCAGATTTTATAAAATGCAGCCAACGGCCAAGTATCTCTGAATCTCTCTTTTTTAATGTGTGGATAATGCTAAAATGTAAAGCTTCAGTTTGATACTATATTTTTAAATCGCTATGTCTGACCCAAAGAAGAATACGCAAATCTCTGTAAACACCCCATAAGTTGGTCATTTTCAACTTTAAACTGATTTAAACGTAGTCAAGTCTTTATTCTAAGTTAAGCTAATTTACAGCTTGATAGTTAAAGATGAGCATTTGAACACTTTGGAAATATTTATTTGCTTTGTCGAAAGTTAAATAAGAATATTGAGATGTTTTCACCATGTGTTAAATAGTCTGTCTTGCCGTTTCCAGTTATTTTTCTAGGCTAAGCTTTTCCCCCATAGCAGCAGTACATAACTAACACATGCCACTGTAACTTATAATGTTCTTTATGTAGATGTAATGTTAAATTTGACCCTCTCTGAATTTCATTTCAGCCTCTCAGGATGCCCCAGAGCTTTGTATGCTAAGAAGAAGGCCAAGTTCCCTACAGAAGACTATCTGAGCACTAAGTTCAGAGCCAGTGATGGTACGATGGTTAATTAAGAAAAATCCCCCCCCCATTTTTATTATTTGACTCAGTAACAAAGGGGGGGGGGCCCTTTGTTACTGAGTCAAATAATAAAAATGCCAATGTTAGAATAGAGTTTTTTTCTGTTTTCTTTTGGGGTTTTTTTTTTTTTTGCAAAACGTGCTTTTCTCTTCGCCTCTCCTTTAGTTTTGGACAATGATGAGGACATCAAGCAGCTCAACAAAGAGATTAATGACCTTAATGAATCCAACAATGAAATGGAGGCTGACATGGTCAACCTGCAGACTCAGGTGTGTGTTTGTTGTTGGGGTTTTTTTTCCCTTTAGTGTGATCTTCAGTGTATGCTCTTGTTTTCTCGAGGAGCTCCAGTTTCTCCATGCAACAGCAGTACTGCCTACCTTAGCCAGTCTCTTGCAAAAGAGATAAAGTAATTATTGATCACTGTCACCACCTTATGAAACCTTGGTTTCATAAGCATGACACTGTTGAGAATGAATAGAGAACTATAATTTTAAGAGGATATTTATCTGGAACGTCTTTTACCAGGATTACAGTTTCTGCAGTTAAGACTCTAAAGAGCACTGCAGGCAGCAGGACACTTTAAAGATGGGTAAAAATTGTCCAGTATCAGTATTGCATCTGACCAATCACATTGTTGTGATGTGTGATGCATGGTGTTTCCACATCCCAAAATTATGTCATCGCTACAATCTGACTGGTTACTTGCAATGTTGAACTGGAACCAACATTAGATTTGTGGACCCAGGAACAATGAAGATGGTGCGAGCCACTAGAGAAGAAAAAAATGTCTGTATAATGTCTGGACTATGGCCACTACATTGCCAGTCACCACAGCTGCTATTAAATAGATATGAATTTCTAGTTGAATATTAAAACATTTGCTGATGGTCTGCTGCTGTACGTTGCAGATCTCCTCTATGGAGAAGAACCTGAAAAGCATTGAGCACGAGAATAAGATGATTGAGGAGCAGAATGAGGCTCTGTTCATGGAGCTGTCTGGTCTGAGCCGAGCCCTCATCCGCAGCCTGGCTAATATCCGTCTGCCGCACATGGTAAGTCCGCATTCACACCCTGTTGTCATTGATTGATTGTTTGAAGGCAAATCTGGTGCGCTGAAGAGTGCGTGGAGCCTTGTTTCTGTTTGCCCCCCTCAGTTGAGATTGGTTTTCATTTGCACCACAGCAGGAGCCAATCACAGAGCAGAACTTTGACAGATACATCAGCACCCTGACTGACATGTACACCAACAAGGACTGCTTCCAGAGCCCCGAGAACAAGGCTCTGCTGGAGAGCATCAACAAAGCTGTGAAGGGCATCAAGGTTTGAGGCTCCACACATACAAATGGAGAACGCAAACTGTCCCAAAGTGCGGAGAACACGGTGGAGGTGGAGTCAGGAAGGAGAGAGGTTGAAAAGCTCTATGATATATCGAAATATGATTCAAAAACAAAAAAAGGGAATTCAGGTTATTTAAGTAAATGGCAACTTAAAAAAATCAACCCAGGGAGCACTCTGTTGAAGAAAAGTGACGCGGACCAAAATCCACATCATGCTGCTGCTGGGATTCAAAGGAGGAACCAGAAGAAGATCCATGTTACTAGAAGCTGTATCTGGGGGTTTAAATATACTGTATGTTTACCTGTTGTCTCTTTTGTGTCCTTAACTGTTTTTCGGAGAGGGTTTCGCAACTGGTCAGTCAGTTTTTTAGCATTTCTCCTCGGCCGGAACACTGAGACAGGCGAGGCTCGAGTATTGCTCGCCAGAGCCCGGAGACAGGAAGAGGAACACTAACTGGAGCAGAAGACTCCCAACGCCACTGTCTCCTGTAGCATTCTCAATGGCAAGCATCTGCGGCTCTGAAAATCTCTCTGATCCACAACCATACTCGCACCACACCCCCCGGCATGCACCAAACTGAATGTGCGTTTGCTTGGTGGTATTACTGCAGCAATCATCAGTGGGAAAAAAAACCTCATCGAGCAAGGTCGCGAGTTAGATTTAAA